CCCGAACCTTGACTGGTCCGGAGGCAAACTATGAGATCCATGATAAGGAGCTGTTGGCTATCATCCAATGCTTGAAAGAATGGCGCGCAGAGCTCACCAGCACCTGGGAGCCGTTCGTGATTCTGACTGATCACCGAGTTCTGGAATACTTTGGTCAGAAGCAGCTACTCAACGATAGGCAAATCCGATGGTCAGAGGTGCTATCGCAATTCAGTTTCGACCTTCAGTACCGACCAGGCAAGGAAAATATTCTGGCAGACGCGTTATCTCGCAAGAAAGAACTTACCCCTACACAAAAAGCTGCAAAAGAACTGGAACGTACGAAAATCCTCCTCCCTCAAAAGAAAGTTACGTTGCCACATGACAGCAAGGTGTTAGCGCCCATCGACGAGGATCTGGATACGATTGATCGTATTTTTATGGCCAACCGAGCAGATCCCGATCTCGAGGATCTACGCCAGCAAGCACGACAGCGGGAAGAACCTTATTCTTTGGAACCTACCGGGTTGGTGCTTCATAAGGGACGCGTGGTGGTGTCAGCCAAAGACAATCTCCGTACTCAAGTGTTGAAGATGATCCACGAATCTACATCCACCGCTCATCCAGGACGAAACAAAATGAGGAAACTAATCGGCGACCGGTACTGGTGGCCACGATACGCAGCAGACATCGAGCGTTATGTGCAGAACTGCCATGTCTGCCGACGATCGCATAAGCCTAGAGACAAGACACCGGGCTTACTACAGCCTTTAGCCATTCCAGAACGTACATGGGATGATATATCGATGGATTTTCACGATGTGGGGGTACCAGACAAACGAGGGTTTAATAACATTTGGGTAGCTGTTGATAGATTGTCTAAACGCCAAATCTCCATCCCCACCACTAAAAGTGCTACAGCAAAGACTGCTGCAGACTTGTTCTACCGTTATGTCTGGCGATTCCGTGGCGCACCGAAGACCATTACCAGCGACCGCGGTCCGCAATTCATTTCGGATTTCATGGATGAGTTGTCAAGGTTAGCGCGCGTCAAACTCAAGCTATCTACGGCAGAACATCCGCAGACAGACGGCCAGACCGAAATTATTAACCAGATCATTGACCAGCGACTGCGACCATTTGTCAATTTCCACCAAGACGATTGGGCGGAGCTGCTTCCCGCTCTAGATGCTGCTGCGGCAGCTATTCCAAATGAATCTACAGGATTGTCGCCATCAATGATTGACTATGGTTACGAAATGCGTTTAGAATTTGACTGGAATCAGCGACTGGAACCACGAACCCCTCGAGAGAAGCTGAATCGGGACGAGGCCGCGGTGTGGCTTAAACGGATTAGCAGCGCGTTGGATTATGCTAAAGAGAGCATCAAACGCTCACAGGAACAACAGCGTGTTCAAGCCAATAAACATCGCCGAGAAGTAGACTTTGACGTTGGAGATAAAGTGTATATCCGGCGCGGTGCTTGGAGAACTACGAGACCGTCGGATAAGCTGGAAAATCCAATGGTGGGACCATATCGGATCATTGCCAAAGAAGGGCATTCATTCCGCGTTCAACTACCCGCCTCTTGGAAAATACACCCTATATTTTCACCAGACCGACTGCGCAAAGATCCAGATAACCCGTTGCCCGGCCAGGCCAATCCAGAGCCGCCGGCAGAAGAGGTCAATGGAGAGTTAGAATGGGAGATCGAGAAGGTGTTAGACGCGCGGCTGTATCGCAATCGGCTGCAGTACAAGGTTCAATGGGAAGGCTGGGACGCAGACGAGGAATGGTATCCGGCTGCCAACTTTCGGAACGCACCCCTCATATTAGAAAAGTTCCACGCTGAGCACCCTAAATTGCCAGGGCCACCAAGACGTCTCGCTACGTGGTTGGACGATGCCGCACATGATAGATTTAGTGAGGAACATCCGGAAGATAATATGGTGACCAACCAAGGTCGTGACAACCAACGCCGCCGCAGAAATTAGTCGATTTGGGACAATCGAAGGCTGAGGAGGGGGTGATGTCACGGCACGGCATTCTGCTCCGCCATGATATACAATTACGTGGAGGGAGGATGTGAGACTGATGGCTGATGCAGGAAGGAGCACGGACGCGGCGATTTAGTGGAAACCCGCCCGAATAGGAATAGCCTCAGGGCTTTTTGTAATGAGATCCTGTCCTTTTCTATTCTTCTCCAGCTTAGTATTTGCTTCACAGATTGAATTATCGCCATACAAGCTGTACTTTCACTTGTGCCTATTCTACGCCGTGACACCTGGTCGGAGTTGTCGCTTTCGTCTTCAGAGTACGCAGGCACATACTCATCTGCTGAGTCAGTTATCATCTCATCTACTTGATGGATCAGTACGTCTTCCTGAAGAGTCGCTATATTCGATTCTTCACGGATAGTCGAGAGGAGGGAGCGTGTTTTTATGCGTTTGGACACGCGAGTCGCTGTTCATGTGGGTGACGGCCGCAGCAATGAGCCGGGTTTTTCCGCCTCCCGGGCGACATTTATGCTGTTGTTTTTTATGAGGATATGGGTGTAGATGTGAAGCGTGAAGAAGGCAGAGATGAAAGCATGTGACATACTGTTGAGTCTATGAAAGCATCACGTTATGGGGTATAATGGTGGTTGTGCAACTATAATTAATATTGAAAGTCATTCTATAAATCTGTAATTGTATCACGTGCCTCGCTTAGTATTCCATACTTTCCGTAATTGTGAAGTGTGTAGATAATAGAATAGAATAGAATAGAATAGAATTCAATTTAAGTCCCTACTGAGTCTATGACTGTGAAGGACTGCTAAAGAAAACAAAATAACTTTAAAATTTAATAGTCTTTTTGACAATTTATTTACTTAATATGTACCAATAGATACTGAGGGTCTTGCCCTATGTGTAGATAATAGTAAGAACAAGTAAAGAAGCACCAATAGTTGTAGTTATAATACACACAATAAATCATATATATATTTATATTATAAGGAATCTGAATTCGAGAGCAAGTATCTACACGCAGCTAAATATATAGCTGGTATGCAGTATACTCTTAACTCCTCTGTCGCATAAATTACAACAATTAATTAGGATGTCGCCGGATCAATTGGTGTTGGTATACAGCAGAGCAAGTCCAGAATAAATCAGTTAATTAGAGAAATCTAGGGAAAGAAGATTTCCTACTTCTCGCTGTATACATAGGGAATTGTAATTGTCAGCGCCGATCATAACAATCTATGTTGCTAAGCGACCAAATCCAGACCGCAACATTGGTAGCCCCCGTAGCTGGCTAGGCCCTATGTTCCATCCCTACCGTACTGGCGCAGACAGTACAAACACAAGGGATTAATCCCGTAACATAGGATAGGTCATCAGGAAAAATAACGACGATAAGACGATGTGTTGTTGTTGTTTTATTCAAGTCCTAAGCTAAAGCTCCAAATCCACTATGAGTACAGGACCGATGTTCACAGCCAGAACTACATCTAAGACATACCCAGCTTGATTCCACCGCATGAACCACCACAAAACCAGCAGTGAGTTAAACATATGCGCCAACGCGAACTCCTTTTCCCAAAATTAACAAAAGAAAAAGATAAATTGCAAATAATTTAGAATGGGAAGCAATACTCCTCGCCTCGATTCCCATTTTGTCAGGTTTAGTTTCCTGACGAGTTATATTCGATCTCCACTGAGAGTAGGAGATGGATGCACAGGAGAATACCCAAAACAATTGGTATCCTGTGCAAATTGTTTGAAGCTCTCGAAGCACTTAGGCCCGAGTAGCTTGTGTAAGAAGGCATTGTGGATAAGACGATGTGTTGTTGTTGTTGTTGTTTTATTCAAGTCCTAAGCTAAAGCTCCAAATCCACTATGAGTACAGGACCGATGTTCACAGCCAGAACTACATCTAAGACATACCCAGCTTGATTCCACCGCATGAACCACCACAAAACCAGCAGTAAGTTAAAAATATGCGCCGACGCGAACTCCTTTTCCCAAAATTGACAAAAGAAAAAGATAAATTGCAAATAATTTAGAATGGGAAGCAATACTCCTCGCCTCGATTCCCATTTTGTCAGGTTTAGTTTCCTGACGAGTTATATTCGATCTCCACTGAGAGTAGGAGATGGATGCACAGGAGAATACCCAAAACAATTGGTATCCTGTGCAAATTGTTTGAAGCTCTCGAAGCACTTAGGCCCGAGTAGCTTGTGTAAGAAGGCATTGTGGATAAGACGATGTGTGTGTGTGTGTGTTTGTGTTTATTGTGCTACTTGAGTCTATGACTATCTAGCACATTGGGCTCCTCTCTGACCCAGGCCACACCTTGTACAGTGCTCCTATCCTCTTTTGTTACTTGAAAGATCATTGATATATTCCCCTTGATGAATAGCCATTCCGCTCAGGATAAGAAGATGTAGTGCAATGGGAAAATAAAGGTTTCTACAGGCAAGGGTCGAGTGGATACTCAAACGCTTCACGCTAATCTAATTCAGGAGTTGATCCCGTAACACGAAATTGTATGGAGGAATAGAGAGGAGAGGGAGGTGTATGTTTATTGTACAACTTGAGTCATAGCCTACCTAGCACATTTAGCTCCTCTCTGGCTCAGTCCACACCTCTCTCAGTGCTCCTATCCTCTTTTGCTACTTGAAAGATCATTGATATTATGGACGAATAGAAAGAAGCCGATATTTCTAGGGTACTCAAATTTAAGAGGCAAATATCAGTATCAAAATGGCACTTCTTGCATACTTTGATTATCATACGTGCTGGGGATTTTCTTATTAAAACTAATCTATTATAAAACCGCCTCAAACCGCGATGCATCCAGCCCTGTGCTGGAGCAAGTGCGCCATTTCGAATACAATAGCTCAGGTAGTTACTGCCGGAGCCTAAAATACGATGTCAATCCGTGCTTTCACCGAGCCAAACCACTCCGGAGTCTTAGAAGAAGTAGGTGGGAATTTCCAAGTGACTTTTCCTTTACCAAAATAATCCTCTCCTCTATAGAAAGGCAGCTGCACCTAGAGCGGCAATGATAAATGCCCCGATAGAACCTGCATCGTTGGCGTTACCCCCAGCACTGATCGGGGGTGAAGTGGCTGTTGACTGGGAAGCAGTACTAGTATAACTAACAAATGAAGCGGAGCTAGACTTCATGGTAGCATGAGGAGCTTGAGGTTGTCCATCCGAGATCTGAGAGACGGGTATTCCCGAAGGCTTCTCCGTAGGCTTTCCTGTGGGCATCGCGGAAGTAGTAGCATTGTGTGGTGTCGCAGAGGGTGCCTGGGGCTGGCCATCGCTGATCTGCGATACAGGGGCGCGTGTCGGGGCTTGGGTCGGGGCTTGTGGTTGACCGTCTGAGATCTGAGAGACAGGAGCGGGGACACGAGTGGTAGCAGAGGTGGCTTGTGGTTGACCATCATTTATTTGAGAGACGGGAACTTCGGCGGATGGTTGGTCGGTAGTAGAAGCACCTGAAGTACACGGGAGAATGTCGATGTTAATGGGTTCACACTGTTCAGCCCAAGAGCGATCGTAAAGATTATAGAAATCCCCACTCAAGCATTGATAAAATACAGACGATTCGGCCAATGCAAGGGAGCCATTGGAGCACGATGAATAGCCACCCACTGAAGCTGCATTTATTTGAGGTGGCGCATCGAATTGGAATTGATAGTTGGAGGCAATGTATCCGACTCGACCTTTTGCATCGGTAAGTTGACCTTCCGCAAGAGTCAATGTCAAATAGCCATCTTGACCACAAGTAGACTGCTTATATGAAAGTTAGCGATGCCACATAAGATATAATTATCCAACATACAGTAGTATCACGTCGTTTGGTTGAGGGCTTCACAACTGTTATTTGAAATGGGCCATCATAGCTGGCAGAGCAGCCAGAAGGTGTGGCTACGACGGTGGTGAAGGTGGTGAACACCGCAGCTGCAAGGACAAAGACGGTCTGCATTTTTAGCAAGAGGTAGATGGGATGATAAGATGAATATTTTTGTAGAGTGATGGAAGAAACGAGTGACGATGTCCCACGGCTTTTGTAAGTTTACTGCAGAATGTAATGGCGTAACGTGGCAATCCTTGGGCCCTTATACTTGTGAGAGACGGATCTTGCTATCCTAGAGGATGAGATGTAACAGATCCGTGTACCTACTTGATTGCTATTACAGGAAGGAAGGCCGGGCCACGGCCTTTGCCTTGAAGCGTCTCGACTGGAACCAGCAAGAGCACCTACCAGTTCTCTCAATCAGCGGAAGCTCACGAGCATATCGAGAGTTGCCCTTTCCAAGGTAGTCAGGAGTTAGCACCGGGAAGGAAGAATGCTCTTGGAGAACGGATGGGCAGGGTATAGCTACGGCCGTGGGGGTCCGACTACTCCTCCCACATTAGCCAGCACTGGCACCACGACAGGCGGTCTGGTATCAAGGAGGAAGGTGTATACCGTGGGCAGGCACTTGTTGATGTCTCGTGTTGGGGTTGGATGTCGGGCATGATCTTCGCGCTTATGTTGCAAAATCTCCGGGGTAGATGAGAAGCCCCAACAGTGACATGGGGCAAGGGTTAGAGCGTAAGGCATCAGCCTTTTGTCTTTCTCCAAGCTAGGAAAGTGGAGGGGTCGACCTGGTAATTGTCAGGAAAGCAGTGCCCTATGACGAGCGACATGTCGTAGCCTTCAGGGGAGCTCTTCTGCGACTTCTTTCGTCACCTCATCTGCACTTCTCACTTCTCACATCTCATTGTCCTCCTTCTCTCATTCCCTATCGGACTGCTTCGTCGCCCACCCGGTTCTTGGGCTGTTCTAATATTAGCGGTTCGCGTAATTACAACGTCTGAGCTGAAGTCATGAGGTAAGCAAGACATAAGTCTTATTATCGCCGTCGGCGTTGACTAGCGGGAATAAAGCAGGAAACTTCACTCCTGATCACTCCAGGTGAGTATGCAACTTGCTTGGGAGTGAGGCATAGCTGGCATCGACAGACCAAGATCGGGTTAAGAAATCCGCAATTTAATCCATGCTGCATTAGTGAAGGGCGCTTATCAACTTTACGTGTATAGATAATTCGGAATGTTTCAACTGCCATGAAAGCCCCGAGTGACAGTTGAAGCTGCGGAAGGTTGATAGGCTTTTGCAAAATTCGGCTCTGCTCAAGTGCGAATTTTAAGATCCCTGTCTGATGGCGGCACTCGCTCAGATGACATAATCGGATGAGCCTTGAGATTAAGTGTCCGCTGTTAGGCATGGTGGCGTAATCAGGCACTCATATGCTCTACTTTTAGAATGGTTCAGTAAGGAGTTGATCCATGTCGCGCCTCAGGCAATAACACATTTAGCCCTGAGAATCATGTTTCGAAATAATTCGTCCTGATTTGTCGATATCCTCGGCTTTCCATGATTCTGCCGAGGGACCGTGAGTAAAATACTCTACTTTTTCTGCTAGTCTTCACAGCATTGGCATTCAAACTATCAATCTTACGGTCGTTTAAGGTGGAAGCTCAGCATTACCAAGGCGTTAATAGATGGTAGGTCTCGAACTAGAAACTGTTGTCTTCCGCGACATCGCCTCCCAGAGACACCTAAACCATCTTGCTGAAGTCCCACAAACATCACTGCGCTCCCATCAGCGTAATATACTCTGTGCGATAAAAAGTTCACCTGAAACTGTGTTCAGTCTGAAATTTTGAGAAGCAGCGAAGGTGAAACATTACGACAATAGTTTAACACAAACCCATACCTAGCCAGCCGCGGATTAGCTCAGCGCTCAAAGGTTTTATCGTCTTTCCGTCGCCCCAATTTCAGCTGATAACTCAAAAAAAATAGTTCATCTGTTACGATCTCCTCACACCCTGTCTTAAATAAACAGTAAGATCCAAAGCCTCTAGGACACTAACTAGGAAAAAGAAGCATATGAAATATGAAAATTTAGAAACTGCGGTGATAAAACTTCTACCTGTAAATTCGAAGTTACCACGAAAGTTGAGCACTAAGCAATCAGCTGAAGGTATGGTGGTCAAATAAGACGTAACGTCTATTAAGAGGATAGTCAGAGAAGCGGTCTTTGGACTTTTAGGAGTTACAAAAATATCAAGGGTCTATTGATGTTTTGGACGCGGATGGTTTTCTGCAATTACACCGCCCGGGTTGAGTGGCAGCATGATGCCTAAAATTTGCCGATTTTGACTTGCATGGCGTAGTGTAATCCAAAGTAGTAAACCGATCTACAATCACAGGAATCAAGGACTTACTCCTTGCTAAGTTGGCAATTGAAAAAAGACCTGAGTGAGCACACTATAATTCCTTTACTTACAACATGAGTGGAAAGAGAGGTGCTAGAGTTTCCTAGATCAAGTGAGCCAAAGCGTGTGCGGTATGATTTATTGAAGTTCCCATTACCAGATCAATCAAAGACATATGTCGCACTTGTATCTCGTTATCATCAAGTTCCTAGAAAATTAGTATTATCAGCACTCTCGAGAAACTCAACACTGCCGGGGTCAATCTAACTGCTGTTGGATACCGTTGGCATTAGGGTTAAATTCGTCCTAGCTTAACAACCGGACTGCCCTAACCTTGACCTATGCGTTGAATCACGAGTCCGACCGTCCAAAGAAATCTTTTTCTTCGCGCCGTAGCGCTAAAATCTCCTCAGCCTCGGCCACTATACGTCCGGGCCCTCAATTTTGCCTCATCCCAGTATTTACTCAACTTATTCAGGCTCGATATCTTCACTTAGAAATACCAATCTATTATTCAACAAGGCCTCCTCTACTTGATCTTCTTTTCCTCCACCAGACCATTTTATCAATTCGTCAGCCGATCTTTCCAAACTAGACATCCAGTTGCTGTATAACCTTCGACACTTGCCCGTCACTGACATGATCTAGTCCTGAAGGCCGAATACACTGGTATAAAATCAATTCTGAGCCGCTATTAAACCGAGGTTCTTCAAATATTAAGGCTAACGTGCCGGAAAAATGTTATATGTACCCCTTCGGTGGCTATCTATCGCAGTTGCGTTGATGATGCGCTTGACTGAGATGTAGCCGCGTGTAAGTAAGGATCCTGAACTCCGAATCCGAGCGAGACGCCGAAGTCCCGATCCCAAGCGAGCTGCCGAGTTTCAAGACCACATTGAGATTATATCCCCCGCATTCCTTGGTCACAATCCAAGCGGCTAAGCACCCCACCCATTCCCTATTGTATTCTGATATTTCACTTTGCTATGCTATAGTGATCATTAAATCACTGAAGTATGGTGAATTTCATGTATATAAAGAGTTGGAACTTTAATAGAGATACAAATTGTTAAGGGCGAGGAGATTTACGAACACGTAAGCGGTACCACCAAGAATTAAAAATTTTCTACAAAGATTAAACAAAGGAAGTTCGTTACATTAAATATAACCTCTAAAGCTACAAGTGATCTAGATTCCCGACACTTATTCATTCGCTACTGAGTGATCTATTTCCCAGCCTCAGCATAATTAACCGAATGATTCGAGTCGTCAGAAACGACCCTGAGTCGAATCACGGGATTAACTTCCTTGATCATATTCTCCCAGAGTCAAGTTCAGTAAAATTTCGCAATATCAAAGAAGTTGGCCCAAGAGGCAATGATTCAAATTACTCCACCATGTCAAAATTTCACTCCCAAAGAGTTCGACTCCCACCTAAGTCTCATCAAGTCTACAGGTACGACTAAGTACATCCTCATTCCAATGACCACACCTCTCTTCAACCTTCTCTGGCCTCAGTTGACCACCAAATACACGCGCACGCCGATATTTACACCCGACGTAGGAAGCAAAGTGTGGCGCACAAACCTGGGAGGCAGTTCTTTGGGATGGACGTGAGAGGGATCAGGACAAGTTAAGAAGATGATGCAAAGGAAGGATACATTCTCGAAGGGCGAGAGATTCCGAATTTTGGCAAGTTTTACGAATTGGGCTTTGTGCGCACCAAGACTTCGCTTGCGAGAGTGCAGCTGACACTATAAAAACAAGGCAACGATAGAAAGTGTCGTGGTCCGCCTCCTGGTGGTGTTCTCAGGTATGTTTCGAGTAGCCTGGGTACCAACTTCACTTGGGAAGGAGACACCTAAGATCACATTTAGCGCGGAGGAAAGTTAATGGATGACGGAGGCATGTCTGGATAACTCGGGGTTTTAGAGACGTTCCCCTGGGTGGGTATTCACGGATGAGGGTTGACTTGGTGAAGAAAAAGCCACCATAACTTCGCAGTGGTACTTGCAAATGAAATCCGAGGCATGAGTGCTCCTCTTGTAAATTGAGTCATTTTTTCTGTACTTTTCTTTGATATTGTGTCATAGCTAGATAGCTGTATACGCAATTAAAATCTGATGCAAAAAAAAAAAAGATCAAGATTTCGGCTAATTAGCCGGGAGGGCTCCTTTTGTCGGTGAGTCAACGGCACTCCCTAGCGCCTTGGAATGCTAAAAAAAAGCTGGCCTAAGCTATCATACAGCAATCATGCTCTGTCAAGACTTTTCTAACATTTCATCAAGACTTATAAGAAATAGGTGAAATGAGTCTAAGAAGGTTGAAAGACGCTCTTAGTTATACACAGGACTGCAGCGCCTAGATGGGCAGCATCTTCAAACGCTTCAGAAGGGGCACTATGTCTTCGGATTTAGTCCTAATGTCGGTACTAGAAGAGCTACGCATCCAGTGGTTTTTGCGATTATTCCCAGCTGCCATACACCCGCAAATGACCATCGTTTCGTTGGCTGGAGAGGGGAGATAAAGAAAAGCAAAGGGCTCCTCTAAATGTGTGATCGAATGAGGACTTGTGAGGGGTGGTGCTATTTAAGGGGGCCTTTATGGGAGGCATAGGAGGGGATTTACTACTGTTGGAAATGGAGACACAGAGTGTTATGGACATACGGGCCCTCCATTTCGTCTAGGTTCCTGTCACAATCTCGTGTGCATTTAAGAGATTGAAATGGGTAGTATTGTAGCCTGAAGATCTACCTATAGCGTACATGAGCGGCTGTATGGTGGGGCATAAGGAGGTTATTTGGGGTTTTTATGCCTAGATGGCGCCACGTTAGTTTATGCTCTGGCTTAGAGTTGTACTTTTTTCTTTTGCGTATGCAGCTATTTAGCAATTACACACTTTCGGAGAAAAAGTACAGAAACGATGACTAAATATAAAAGAAGAACACTCATGCCTCGGATTTTATTTGCAAGTACCACTGCGAAGTTATGGCGGCTTTTTCTTCATCCCAAGTCAACCCTCATCCGTGAATACCCACCCAGGGGACGTCTCAAAAACCCTGAGTTATTCAGACATGCCTCCGTCATCCATTAACTTTCCTCCGCGCAAAATGTGGTCTAAGGTGTCTCCTTCCCAAGTGAAGTAGGTGCCTAGACCACTCAAACTAAACTAGAGAACACCACCAGGAGGCGGACCACAACACCTTCCATCGTTGGTTTGTATTTAGTGTCAGCTGCATTCCATTAGTACCCGTTGATAATTGACACTTCAACAACTTCTGTCAAGCGGTAACAACGCAGCAGATCTTCATCCGAGGATAAAATGAAAAGGAACAACCATCTCTCCCATTATATAGCCAGTCAAAGATTATTTGCTAATGTTTGGTGTAGTGGAAACAACTTGGAAAAAGTAGACAGAAGACTGAGCATCTGCCCGTCGTGTTCTCTACGAACTTGATTGTGAAATATTTTCTCAGAGTCGAGCTCGTTCAAATGTCGTTATGTCAAAAGAGATGACCTACATGGCAATGATTCAAGACTTCTTACATGTCAAAATTTTACTCCTAATAAGATACATCTCTACTATTACTTCATCAAGTCTGAAAATAGAACATATCACAACCCTATCTCCGTTACTGCACATCTTATCGGCCTGTTATCTGGCTTTAATTCGCCTCCAAACACATGCCCACGAGGATACAAATACCTGCAGAATAATAACAATTGTTTTGCACAGGTCTTGGAGGACAATATTTTATCACGAGAGTGGAAGACATTAAGTCAGACTGGAAAGATAATGATAAGGATAGATAAAATCTTGAACGAGGTGAGATTTTTAAAATCTAGGATTGACTTTTTCAGGTCGAAGAGCATTTGCACGCCAAGCCTTTTATCACGAGAGTACAGGTGACCTTAAAAAGCAGTCATGATCGGATAATCTAATGATGCAACATCTGGGCTGGTATCCCAAGTAGTATATGGATAGTTTGAATGCCCATGGCCCTTTAAACGGGAAATCTCTGGTTCGAATCCAACAAGTCTTTACCAAATTTCTTGCGATGCTTACCTGTAAGTTGACGACGTCACGCCTGAATAATGAATGGTTCTGAATCCTTACTCGTGCGGGTACACTCGATGAAGGGTGCACTGTTTAGTGTATACAAACATACCTTGGAATGATGTTTAAAAACGAGAGACATATCATGGGTGCCTCTGAAGTCAAGATAATTATTTTATATCTACGCAAGACACTAATTATGTATAATAGTTAGAAGTCTGTACACAAATTTATTATAGGATTTAGGATATTTTTTCCCAGGTGAGAATGTATATATACACACAAAACTAAAAGTTAATTTGTTGGAATGAAATAATAATTGTTGTATTAATAAAATTACAATACGCATTTTCTATCTCGTATACATCATTCATAGTCCACGAGTGATCCAGCTCTGTGGAGCCAATACTAATGTCCTCTAGTCGTGTCCTTTACTCGCGTCTAAACGGAGCGAGTGGTTGGTTGTTCATTAACATGCTAGGTAGAGTGACTCCCGTTGCATTCCTACTGGAGCTTAAGCACGGGTGGGGCCGGGCTGGATCAGTTTAACTACCATTAAGTACATCTACCTCGTCCCACCTAAATGGCCGGACTACCTCAGAGTTCACCCATGTGTTGAATCATGTCAAGCCCAACCGTCCAGAGAAACCTCTTTTGATGCGCCGAAGCACAAATTCCTCCTCAGTCTCGGCCACCATGCGCCCGAGCCCATGACACCTTTGCGACTTGTAAGTTTTCACTTCCATTCAGTCCCAGCTTTGACTCATCTCATCATCTCCTCATCTCATCCAGGCGTCGTTTTCTTCACTGGAGGCCTCATCCAGTCGCCCACCAAGGCCTACTCAGTTTGTACTTCCTGTTGGTTCCTTCATGTAGCATCCCTCTATCCTTCAGTCGATCTCGTCATCCCAGAAACTTTGTAGAATGTCCACCTCTTCGGCCTTGCCCCGTCGCTACCGTACCCCAAACCGTGGAGGTCGAAAACGCGACTGAGAGCTCAAGACCGAGGCACCGGTGCCCCAGCCTTTGTCAAATGCTCTAGTTGGTGTGCCGGCGAAATGTCGTACGTATTTCGTCGGTGGCGATTCATCGCAGGTCGAGTTGTTGGCGCCCTTGTCCGAGGTGAGGACGCATCTAAGGCCGGTATTTCGACCGTACCTTCACAGCGGCTGGCAGTTGCGGAGGGTCGGACATCCCCTCGCTTCTTAAATGGCGATTTGGCTTTTGGAGGTATGGGATTGCTTTGGTAGATGATGAGATGATTGTGGAGAGGGCCGCGAGATGAGTTTGGCTAGGAATAATTTTCCAGAGAAAAAAAAATAAGATCCTGAAGGTGTCGGTTGTTGTAATATGAACATCAAATAGGTTTTAGCCTGTCTGCGGTTCGTATCTGGGGTGCAGATGGTTGATTTCTTGTTGTGCAGTCGTGAAATCTCTGCAAGTCAGATTATCGACCAAAAATGAACCACCACCACTCCTCCCGATCGCCAACTCGACGAAAACTCTCAAATTCACCCTTTGTCGTGACTGAATCTCGGCTCCGGAAGAATATTTCACTCCCAGGTTTGTAGAGGACACCACTGACAGGTGTTTAGCCCTCGTCCTCCGCTACAATGTCTTTATCTATCTACAGGTAAATTCCCCATATTCCAACCACGCTAGCCATAGAGGACGTGGCATATAAAACTTTATTCGTATCATCATATTGTGGTTGAGATTTACCGTGCATATGCTACTTGAGTCGCATGTCTGACTACGATGCGACACGCTCAGGTATCAATCTAATAACCCACACCAACCCGAAACCACTCACAACCCTGATGATGACCCCATCAATAATTGGAACAGTAGCCTGCAAAATAGCACAAAAAGGCTAGACATCGTTGACCAGGACCCAATCCGAACAAATAGCTGCTGGGCAGTCATTTTCATGAAGTTTCTTGGCCGGGCTTGCTTGGAAATTCGACTGTCCAAAATGTTTCTGGCATTTATTTCGTCCTTGTTGAAATATTTTCATTTCGCCTTATATTCTTTCACAAAGGTGTTGAATTCTTCATTTGTCTGAATAATTTGAGTTGGCTCTGTCGGAAATTCTGCTGGTTCGAATCCGAGGACATTGCGAAAGACGTGTCCCAGACAGTAATTATTGACAAGTGCAGATTGAACATTCGATACCCACTCGAATATTACAATTCCCAGGTTGAGGATTACGAGGGGCTCTTGTGGCGACATGCTTTCTTCATGATCTGTTAATCAAGAGCGCTCCCGGACTCATAACCTCTTACAAAAAGAGGTCACCTAGGGGTTAAATACTAACTCTGCTACTCGTATGTAAGTGCAGTATGGTCTATAGATACTGCGCTTATAAATAATTGATTATAAATACTAGTAAATTTGATTTGAATTCATGTCGTATCAGGCTTACGCCCTACATCCAATAGGCGTGATACGGGTTTATGCTACCTCGGGATACACTACTGTTGGGTTAATTATTCAGATCTGAATAGGTGGACTAGGTGAAAACGATGGTTGATTATTACTTGACCCAATCCCTAATGATTGGGTCCTTGTTGGTTGACTAAATTACAGATACTACTGCCTAAGGCATAACAGGCATATACTCTACAATATGTTACAGCTAAACTACATTTACATAATTAAGTGATAACAACAACTACAACCTAAATACATAGTTTGCTTGTCAAAATTACACGCAAAACATAAATAATGAATTAATTCCAAGAAAAATAAGTGCCCTGCGACTTTCCCCCTTCACAAATCTTTGTCCTGAAAAACTTCTACCTCGGAAGTGCTAGCTCCGGTGGACGTTTTCGTTTCATCTGGAGATCCAATTCTTCGTAGCTGCTCGGTCTGTGATCTACCCACCAGGATTTCACTGCTTCTTCACATCTTTGCCTGACAAATAGAGTGAGGTCTGCGAAAGTGTATTTAGGTCTGTCCCTCATTCCTGAGGGAGATGTGTCCGTTTCATCCAGTAGGTTCCCGAGGGCTTCCTTGGCCAGTCTGTCTGCATCTTTATTCCCCATGATCCCAGCGTGGGCTGGTATGTATCAGATCGCAACTGATCTAGCTTGTCGTGCCAGTCTTGTGAATATTTCCACTGCAGCCTGGGAAGATTTCGTTTGGCCGTTTCTTAGAGCTCCCACGACTGTGGAGTTGCCGAGCAGCACCTTTATCTGGCGGTCGCTTGCTTTCCTCATGGCTCCTATAAAGGCTTTTCGGACCCCAGAGATTTCGTCATCGTAAACCTCCGCCCCTTGCAATGGACTGGAGCCACTCTCAATCACCTAGCCTCTTTTTTATAAGGTCAATACCCATACAGACATAGCTGGTACACATGATGAGCCGTCTAAATAAGCGCAAACTGCCTCGGTCGGTAGGCTTGCTATCCATTGCTTAGCGTAAGCTGCTTCGTCCTGAAAGTCCGAGCCAGTAATTTTTCTGATAGACTTGGCTTTTGGGAAGTATAATTGGTCGGGTCCTTCGGCCATCAGCACATCTTTGGCGCTGATCTGAAGTCGCGTGAGGTACCGTTCTTGGAACTTGGATGACCGGTTCTTCTGACCTATACGGAGGCCGAGGCGGCTTTTTGTATCTTTTGGGCCCTCCCTAGACCTGGATACTAACGGATGCCATGCGTCCAACCTTTGAATCCGTGCAGCCGCTAGCATTTTTCTCTGCTGTAAGATAACAGTAGATGAGGGGATGCCAGACTCTCTGTGTAGCGCTACAGTTGGTGAAGTTCACCACGCCGTGAACGCCGCTCGAACTGCCTTCAGGATTGTGCTGTCAAGGAGATCAGTGAGCTAGCCTTTTCCTGTACCAGCCTTTTTTCCCCGCTGAGTTGTGATTCGGGTGAGCCCTGGCCACCACACTTCTGCTCCATATGGCGCTGTACTAAGGACATAAGCCTGCATTAATTTAGATACTAGTAAAGATGCTTCGCACGTTATTATGTGCTAGAAGATAGAAAGATGTATAGAGAAAAGATGGTTGTGTGCTCACGACTCATTGTACTTCGGACCACAACTAAATCACTCTTCCATGACCCTTGCAGGTTCACAACATACTAATCCCGCCAATCATAGCGCGGCTATTACTGTTTGTCCAGAAGTCTACAATAACATCCTTATTAAGCGCAATAGCATAACGTTTATGCAGCTTTGCATAAACAATTATGTGCTATTCCTAGACTATTGCATTGGGGTACAGTTCATTGGCAAGATGTAGACCATCAACATGGACGTGGAACCTGGTAATTACGCAAATTAGGGCATTGAAGAGCGTAATAGAATAGCCTCGTGAGCTTAGGGCGGGTGAGAAGGGACCACAGAGATATATGTTTAGCCATAAATCTATGATTGGTGATGTGGAACGGATAAGTGAGTTCTTTTGATGGGTAATCGCCTTCTCCATCTGGCACGGTTCTTTACAATCACCTGACCCTCACATATTTGTACTGTGAATTCTTTCATGCTCTATGATAACTCAAGTCTGCTATTTTTGGACAATCTCATTTTGCGTTTCTAGAATTCATACTAAGTAGACCAAGAGGCTGCCGAGGATTGCTTAGGCTCCTTTGTTGCTGGCTTACACTTAATCTCTTCCCCTTTAACCAAAGCTTTTACCCAAAGAATTTCCTTATTAATTGTACCTCCCACTTTGACTGTGACATTTATAATTTCTGGACAAAAGTATTAGTAGGAAAAAATGGGGTTTTAGAATAAAGTTGCAAACCATTATCTTGCTCATATTGATCTTTGTAATTTCCTACAGCAAAAAGTTCATTGGTTCCGTAATTTTGCTCATTATTTCGAAGTTTCAATTCGTGAGCCTCATCAAAAGCGTATTGTATGTAATATCCATGAATAAATGATTGACCACAAACATAACTCGAAGCGGCAAGTACAGGCGTCAGATGATTTAGAATAGCGGCGAATGAAATAAGACCGAAGATTTTCATTTTTGCAGCTGTTTTATGTAACTATTATTGCTTATATTTGGTAGAACGACTGGATTTGTTGATAATTTTGATGTTTCAGATTAATCGGCTTCTATGAAAACAGGAATAGTAGGAACTTTGCGTGAGTATGAAGTAGTCTTCTTCGAATGATATGGGAAGCTCTTGATCTGAAAATAAACTTTGAAGTTGGAACTGTCTTTCTTATACACATAGTAGATGGTTAACTCCGATATTGGATAATAGCTTACCACATATCGGCTAGTCAGTTCTTATCGTCCCATAATCTTTTGTTAGATTATTTAGGCCCTAGACTGTGAAATGAAGTCTCTTATTCGAAGTGAAGTGTGGAAAGCTAGACAGGGACATGCATTAAGAGATGGTATGAATGCTAGAGGGTATTATTTTCGTTGGCAGGATCAGGGCAAAGCACCGGCATAAGCCAAAGTCACTCAGGGATTTAAGGAGTCATCTACTCTCAGCCAGAAGAGTGTGGAGCGATCCAAGCAGCCTGCATCCTTTTGGACGGGATCCACATATCTCGCCCCGAACCTGAAAAGGCAGAGGAACTAGATAGATTGACAATACAGTGCGGACTCGTTATAACGATATTTGATATAGAGGTAGTCGCCCTTTAACAATGTCTTCTTCGCGCAAGCATTACGTTCTCAAAGTAAATCTAACAAATCACCAATATTTGGTAAACCGATGCTGCCGTCGCCAGTTTATTGTTATATCCAATGACCGTCACATGATCATGTAACCACTGTCATTGGTGGAAGCCTGATTATATTTAGTCTTGTGCCTTATAATCAAGGCATAGATAACTGTTCCCTAGTTTAATTCCAAGTATGTCATGCACTTCTCCACATGACTCATTAGGCCTGGTAGAAGTCTGGATCCACCTCATGCAAATACATTCTTAAATGGCGACTATGATTACAGACAAGACCACGAGAATAATGGCGTAGAGGAGGAGGACACGCTTATGGATACCATTGCTGCACATACTATGCCACAACAGGAGGATGAGGAGGCAGCTGAGACGCATGCTATGATTAATCAAGCACTTAATGTCCTCAGTCGCCTGCTCAGCTTCAAGGAGCATGAGACAGATGACAACTCCATGGAGCTCACGTTACTCATGCACATTGAAAGAAGCCTCCAGCAGCAGTCAGATCCTAATAAAAGCCAGGGGACATTAAATGGCTGTTTTTATGAAGGAAATAATGACTCCTCAGTCATTGAGGCTGTAGTGCGCATTGATTCAAGTAACTACCGAAGTGAAACTAAGTACAGAATTTGACGTCACGTGTGTACCAACAACGTGGCCTACTTGATAGCCCAAATTATTCCAAATTCTAACAGTTTTAAGTAAGGTGTGTGAGATAGAACGATATCACGTTTGATATGCGAGTATGCGAGATGATTTTTAATTCATTTTATTATCTTCTCTGAGACCATGACTATGTAGGACATGCAGGACCTATCAATCTAGGGGCAAAGGATACCTATACCAGTAGTATATCCCCTCCTACGCCTCCAATACAGCTCACCTCAAACAGTACCACCCCTCACAAGTCCTCATTCGATCATACACTTAGAGGAGCCCTTTGTCCCTCATTATATCCCCTCTCCAGCCAACGAAACGATGGCCATTTGCGGGTGTATAGCAGCCGGGAAAAGTCGCAAAAACCACTGGGTACAGGATTCTACCAGTACCGATATTAGGACTAGATCCGAGGACATAGTCACCCTTCTAAAACGTTCGGAGAGGCCGGCCAGCTGGGCGCTGCAGACTTTTTTTTTGTTCATTAACGTGCTCAGTTAAGTGACTACCGTTGCACTCCTACTGGAGCTTAAGCACGGGTGGGCCAGGCCGGATCAGGTTAACTACCGTAAAGTACAAGTGCCTCATCCCAACTGAATGACCGGACCACCTCGAACTTCACCCATGTGTTGAATTATGTCAAGCCCAACCGTCCAGAGAATCCCCTTTTGGCGCGCCGAAGCGCAAATTCCTCCTCAGCCTCGGCCACCACGCGCCAGAGTTCTTGACACCTTCGCCATCTGTAACTTTTCCCTTCGATTGATTCCCAGCTTTGGCTCATCTCAGCATCTCCTCATCTCATCCAGGCGTCGTTTTCTTCACTGGAGGCCTCATCCAGTCGCCCACTAAGGCCTCCTCAGTTTGTATTCCCTTTTGTTCCTTCATGCAGCATCCCTCTATCCTTCAGTCGATCTCGTCATCCCAGAAACTTTGTAGAATGTCCACCTCTTCGGCCTTGCCCCGTCGCTACCGTACCCCAAACCGTGGAGGTCGAAAACGCGACTGAGAGCTCAAGACCGAGGCACCGGTGCCCCAGCCTTTGTCAAATGCTCTAGTTGGTGTGCCGGCGAAATGTCGTACGTATTTCGTCGGTGGCGATTCATCGCAGGTCGAGTTGTTGGCGCCCTTGTCCGAGGTGAGGACGCATCTAAGTCCGGTATTTCGACCGTACCTTCACAGCGGCTGGCAGTTGCGGAGGGTCGGACATCCCCTCGCTTCTTAAATGGCGATTTGGCTTTTGGAGGTATGGGATTGCTTTGGTAGGTGTTGAGATGATTCTTGAGAAGGCCGCGAGAAGAGTTTGGCTAGGAATTATTTTCCAGAGAAATAGAAAATAAGATGTTGAAGGTGTCGGTTGTCGTGATACGAACATCAGATAAGTTATAGTCTGTCTGCAGTTCGTATCTGGGGCGTAGATGGTTGATTTCGTTGAGTTGTGCAGTCGTGAAATCTCTGCAAGTCGGATTTTCGACCAAAAATGAGCCAAAATCACTCCTCCCGATCGCCAACTCGACGAAAACTCTCAAATTCACCCTTTTTCGTTACTAACTCTCGGCTCTTGGGAAATATTTTACTCACAGGCTCGTAGATGCCACCACCGACAGGTGTTCAGCCTTCGGGGTCCCAAACGGAGGTGGCGATCTGTCTTCCTATATGTCTAATATCCGAGGCCAATATCACGTGAACATGGTCTTCCTCAACACAACATTGGACGCGGAAAAGGATTAGAAAGAATAGTTGCTAAGAGAATGGCTTGGCTGATGATCAAATAGAAAGTTGTCCCCCAGCAGCTTTTTGGTGCTTTCCCTGGATGCTCTGCAGTTGACCTCGTATCGTGTGTTATACACGATGCGGAAGCGACAATGCGAAATAACAAGGTCATGGCAATGGTAACTCTAGATGTGCAAGGAGCTTTCGATGCAGTACTCCACAAACACCTACTACGACGGATGCGGGAACAAGGTTGGCCTAAGATATAATGTCAATGGGTCGAATCATTCTTGACAGCGCGGATGATACGTGTGAGACATCATGGCGGAACGACGCGAGATAAAGTTGTGGAGTGCGGAGTCCCGCAGGGTTCACCACTATCACCACTCTTGTTTCTTCTCTAAATTGCAGTGCTAGTTCAGAATGAAAACAAGAACAATCGTTTCGGATATGCTGATGACATTGCGGCTCTCGCTGTCGGAAGTACAGCATTAGAGGCAGTAGCCACAGCTCAAGAAGAGGTAAACAGACTTGTCCACCTAGCTAACGAGAATATGATAGACTTTGATCCCTCAAAGTTAGAGCTTCTAGTGATTGGTGGAGGACCCAAAAATAAGCTCGATACATCGGGCCTGTCAATTCATATTAAAGGTCATAGTTTAACCCCTTCTCCTTGTGTGAGATGGCTTGGCGTTTGGTTAGATTCTCAGCTCAATTTTAAACAGCATGTCCAAGAATGGTGTGGGAAAACATACCGCATAACTCAGTTCATACGTCAAATCAACTCTGTGCAGCGCGGTGCGGCTCCGGGGCTAATGATCAAAGTAGTACAGGTGTGTGTTCTTATTACGGCACTACATGGAGTAGAGGCGTGGTGGCCAGGGCTGACCCGATTCACCACCCAGCAAAATAAGAAGGCGGGCACAGGAGTCGGCTGGCATACGGATCTCCTGGGTAAAACCATCACCAAGGCCGTTCAAGCGGCACTACTGGCATGGCGAACTACCCCAAGTGTCGCCCTACACAGAGAGTCGGGCATTCCTCCGGCAGAAATCATCTTTCAGCGAAGTCAATTGAGAGCCGTGGCGCGAATTCAGCGAATGGATACCTGGCACCCACTGTGGAATAGATCTCAAGAGGGACCTAAGGAAACTATAGACCGCCTAGGACTCTGCACAGGACAGAAAAGCCGTTCGATTAAGAACCCGGAGCTATACCTCACGCGATTGCGGACTAGCCTCGGAAATGTGCCGGGTGCTTTGGAGTTTGGAAAGTTATTCTTCCCAAACATGGAACAAAACAGCCAATCAAGGAAACTCGACAAGCAGTCCGAACCGGCCCAGGCCAAAATTTGGATAGGGAATCTGTCAGCAGACACTGTGTGTGCGTACCCTGATGGTTCGTCCTGTGGCTTGGCAAAATCTGCATGGGGATACACTCTGTTCAGAGGAGGGCAAATAATTGGAAGTGGAGCAGAACCTTTGCTTAGGGCAGAGGCCTACGACGCAGAGATTTTGGGAGCCGAGAGAGCATTTGAAGCAGCAATACTAGTAGCCGGCAGCAAACCTATCAAGGTACTCCTAGACACCTAAGAAGCCATCCAGGCTTTGCGCAGCGGAAGGTCGAGATCATTCCAAGGAATAGTTGACAAGTTTGTCTCTGACTGTCGAAATCACCAGTCAGTAGAGATTCAATGGATCCCGGGACACTCAGGGATTGCAGGGAATGAGAGGGTAGACAAGCTTGCCAAAGCAGCATTGAGGGATCTTCCGGACGAAATAACCAATATAACGCCCTATACAGAAGCAGATCGAAGAATAAGATTTACGTTTGCATCAATCAACAGGTTTGTGAGGGAACGTGCGGACGAGCTGGTGGCAGCATGGTGGCAGAAACATGCGCATCGACACTAAGTGGACTTAAACCTGAAGATGACACGCAAACGACCTCCTGAACTTGCTCTGCCGAGATGGGCGTACCACAGGTTGATTGCGGCTAGGACAGGATACGGTGACTTCGTCAAATATCACGAAAGATTCAAGCATGAAGATGTTGTCAGCAAGTGTGAATGCGGGCGAGAAAAACGCCCGTGGCACTTTACAGAATGCCGACCAGCTTTACAGCGTTGGAAAATTATAAAACGGGAACCCTTCCCGAGGGCGAGCGAGATGCTGGCAGAAAATGGATGGGAGAAATTCTTTGAATTCGTGGCTATAACCAAATGTTATGGTGCACAAAATATATACCGGGAAGCCTAGGCATTCCCAGGGGTCTTAAATGTTTTTCCTTTGGATAGCTGGTGGGAAATTAGGACAAGGCGCAGGGTGGATTTGTTCGGACGCCATTATTTTTCATTTTATAATCTGTCTATTTTTTTATATAGATTCTCTGGCAAGAAAAGCCCTTCGTGTAGGTAGTAGTGAGTCCGCATGGATCACATACCCGTATCACGCCTCGTGGGTGTAGGGCTTTTGCCTGATACGACTAGAATACATACATACAATATTGCACGCAGACTTCCTGCCCAACTGGTAACCACTCACAGTCAGGTAAATATGTGACCGATGCATTTTTTGCTGAAGTGAATTCAGTATATAGTCGATTATTATTTATTATTAGAGACGCTAGACGAGATTTCTATATGTACAAATTCCAAGACGCTATCTAGCCTTATACAACTGGCACTAAAGATTTCATGCTGATTCTTTGTTGGAAATTCTGACTCTCGAAATTAGCACTCAACCATTATCTATTTCGTCTCAGGTTCCCGACAAGATCGACTCTCTCTACACATGTCACGAGTGCGCTAATAGCGCCTACTATTGCATATACGCTTGGATATTTACGTACTACAGTGTACTCTGGCTCATCATGGTAGATGAGAGGTGGCTGGTCATCACTAGGTTTGACAGACACATGAGACTAGCGGGAATTTCTCCCCTAGATGTATATATAAGTCCAATGTTCCCATAGTTGTAAAATATCAAGTCTTCTTTACTTCATCATATTTATCCATACAATATCGTACAGAGTATATTTTCCAACATTCCTAACATTTTTGAATTTGAATTCATTTAACCCGATTTGGTGCCCTGTGGGCCCATGTAGGCAGCTATGGACTTATCTATATATTTACATTAAGGGGAAACCAATACGATGAAAACACCCTCCCCTTGTTAATCTTTCCTTATTCTATAGTTCTTCGAATCCTATCGGAATTGAAATTGGCCTTGAGTCCGAGACAGGACTAGCTAAAATTATATTGT